CCCCCCTCCCGCCCCCCGCAACACCAGATCAGAGGAAGGAAGGGCTGTTCATTTACTAAGCGCCTACTGTGTGCCGGCCGCGGGCGGACGGGAGGCGGGGAGCCCGCCCCGAGGACTCCGGGCAGCCGGGGCCTGGCCCTGCGCGCCCACCCCGCCGCGCCGCGCCTCCGTGTCCTCGTCTGTCAGATGAGGTTAATAAACAGAACCTACCTCGAAGAATGGTGAGGAGGAGAAGGGTTCGTAGGTGTCCAGCGGCCGGGGCGGCGCCTGGCCCATGGTAGGTGTTCAATAAATGTTAGCCTTTGTTACTCCGCTCGCCTCGGTCGTTACTGGAAAGCCCGCGAGGTCCGGGCTGCCCCTCCCCGGCCCAGAGCGCCTCTCCCTGCCCCCAGAAGGACCGATGCCATTATCTTAGATGAAAAGCGGAACTGGGCGCCCGGGGCTTACGCCTCTAAGCTTGGCGACTCAGCAGGTGGAGGTCGGAGGACTGAAGTTCAAAGCCAGCCCAGGTAAGAAAGCCTGCGAGACTCTTATCTCCAGTTAACCGCCAGAAACCCCCAAGTGGTAGAAACACCAGCCTGGGGTGAAAAAGTCAAGTGAGAGCATGAGCCCCAGTACTGGTGTGGGTGTGCACGCGCACGCGCACACACACGTACGCATGGATCCAGGGCCTTCGCAGGGACTCATGGACAAATAGCAAAGAGTCCTGGATCCAGGCATATGAATGAGGATAGCAGTGATGGCAATGATGGCAGGGACAGCCACTTATACACTTAAGTGGCGCCTGCTGAATTCCAGGCTCTTTGTTAATACCACCTAATCGACAGGAATCCAGATAAAACTCCTGGAAAATACTGTCCCCTGTGCCTAACTCTTAACCTCTCCTGTGTAGTTTTGAGCATGTACTCTTCATTAGCCCTGTAGACAGGCAAGCTCCCAGCTCAAGGATCACAAAGCCTGCAAGAGTCTAGGACCATGCACCCGCCTGCCCCCCCCCCCTCACGCCTTGGCTAGGATTCTCTGTGGAATTCCGGGGAGCAGGCATGCACAGGAGACTGAGGCGGCAGGAGGAAGGAGAGACAGACTGCTGATTTGGGGAGCAAGGTGACAGCCCGCACAGTGCAAGCATACTTCTGTGCTCTGATGGGTTCCACCATGCGTGCGCGTGTCTACACGTGGCTGTGGCCACACCGCAGGGGGGTGGGAAGCCAGCGTGGAGCAGCCCAGGGTGGAGAAGCAGCTTCCCACCTCCTGGGCAGCCTGGGGGAGCTGGAGCCGCTGTGAGAGGGGGCGGCCGGGCGCCTGCACCCGTCAGCCAGCCATCATTGCTGCCCGCCCCCGGGTCACGAATCAGCAGCCGTGCGCTCACCTCCTGCCGGCAAACGTGCTCAGGCCAGCACTGTCACTGGTCGCTGAGCATTTGGAAAATGTAACCCTGTCAGCCTTTGGTCTGAAGCGAGAGGCCTTACACTCCAGTGTACACACACGGGTGCAGGAGCGTGCCCGCCTAGGACACCCGCGCCACGCGCACGATTGCAGACACGTGTGCAGCCATGCACACATCTATCTGCATGCATGCGCAAGCCAGCATGCACAGCCCCAGGAGGACAGTCACAAAGTCAAGTGCAAGATGTCCATAAGTGGGCACGAACGTGTGTCTCCCAGCACCTCACAGAGAGAGAGAGGCAGCCTCCAACGAGGACAGCGGGAGGCCCGTGGCCTCCACCTCCCCGCTGGGTGGAGCTCTGCTCTCACACCAGCTGTGCTCACCCACCCGCCCTCCTCAGGACACCCACCGCCACGACACATGTCTAAAGCGAAAGCCAAGCATGCCCACGAGCAGGCACGTGCCTCCCTAGCCCAGCCCTCTCCCCTGCCACACACACACACACAAGCATGCACAAACCAACTCAGATCCCTGGCACGTGGCTGCACCCTCCCCACCCCCGCAGTCCAGCCTGGCCCGGCCCCACATCGTCAGGTGTGCCGGGGACAGCAGGAACCGTTGCCCACGCGCAGAAACCGCCACCCCGGCAGAATTACATCTGCCGTAAACTTCTCATCTGCAAATGATGATTAAATGTTATTGTGCAAGAGAAAAACGCCAAGGAGGGACTCATTAGCTTTATTGTCAAGAGGGTTCCACGGCTCCAGAGCCCAGCTCCAAGGCCGGTTTAACCCTCTCCATGCTGGGCATGCGTGGGTGGGGGTGGGGGTGCTATAATCGGGAAGGTACAGCATGAAAGACCCAGAGACAGAAATCCCAGCGTGAGACCTGAGGGGACCCACCATAGCACCGTGCAGAGTCCTGAGTGTCTGAGGTGTTCCCCCCTTGCCCCTCATTTGCTACACAGCTGTGTGGTTCCTCTGGTGGCAAGGGCCTCTCAGAGGAAAGGGTGTCTCGGGCCAGGAAACACCTGGAACAAAGGTCTAAGTGACTCACAGCTATGAGATCTGGAGGATCACAGTTCAAGACCAGCTGGGAAAGATCCATGCCTCTGTGTGTGTGTGTGTGTGTGTGTGTGTGTGTGTGTGTGTATACATCTGTCTGTCTCTCTGTGTCTCTGTCTCTGTGTCTCTGTCTCTCTGTCTCTCTCTCTCTCTCTCTCTCTTTCCCTTTCCTTTTATCCTTATTTTCTTGCTGGATGAATGCAGCTGAGATGTCTGGAGTTTAAACCGCCAACTTGGTCCAGGAAGACTAGCAGCGATCGCCTAAGGAACAGCCAGACAGGAAACAGGAGACTTGGGGCTTTTCAACCCCCACGGAGATGGAAAACTCCAGCCTTCTCATCTCCAGACTTGGTTTCCATGAGAAGATTGATCCGCTTCCAGCTGTGATTTGGGTCTTGTGCTCCTAGCACCAACATCCAGCTCCTGCTGGTAGACGAGGTAGAGAAGGATCCTGAGGCTGTGGATATGAGAACCGCTTTGAAGGCATGTTGGCCAGTGTTGGCGGTTGACGGGATGGAGCGGTGGTGGAAACGGAGGTCAAGGGCTTCGGGGTTGAGTGATGTGGGCAGTGGAGCTCGTCAGGAGCTAGAGACCCCGGGAGAGGCTCGAGCCGGGGGTCAGGCGAGGCCAGTGTGAGTTTGAGAGGCCTGCCGGAGCAATCACTTGGAAACTCAGCCCTGTAACGCAGAGAGGGGAGGGGAACCCTGGAAAACGGGTCACTCCAGACACGGCCTAGCACAGAGACCTCGGGAGATCTCCAGGTGCTAGGATCAGATGGAGCCCCTGGGTCAGGAAGAGGGGGAGGAGCTCCTGAACCTCAGTTTCCCCAGCTCTAAATTGGGGGCAACTAAAAGGGCAGCCCTTCGACTCCCTCCTGATCTCTGGTATTACTGAAGAATCTTCGGGAGGAATCGGATCCCCTTTGGAAAATGAAGCTAAAGCCAGCACTCGCATGGGGGTGCGTGAGGGGGTGCTTGGGGGCGTCCCCTTTCCTGCAAAGAGCGTGGGTTCACTAAATGACAGCTGTGAGAATGTTGGGGAAGAGCAAACCCAGAAGCCTGGCATTCCTCACCCCAGCGGTCAGTAGGCACCTGCTGTATCAGGACACAAAGCCACAGGGAGACAAATGGGAAGGGAAAAGATGATGGAGCCAGCCTTGCCAGGAGTCTGGGGGGGGTTGCGGGGGGGGTGGTGAAGGTGAAGGGAGGGGCTGGGAGAAGGGCAGGGAGGGGTTTTCTGGGAGCCCCTCCCCTTGCCCAGCTGCTGTGCTCAGTCACACCCCCTTCTGTGAAAGGCGGGAGCTGGTCAGCAGAGCTTTAACATTTCACATTGCCTAGATTCACCTGCAGACGCTGCTGTATTATCACAACGTAATATGCCAGGTTGGCTCACAGGGCAGAGGAGGCCTGTCCAGACAGGAAGCCCGAGGTGTGAGGGGCAGAGGGTCAGCCTGCGCCGGGCTGGTCTTCTGGCCTTGCAGACAGACAGCTTCTCCCTGGGCCTCTCTGCTTCTTCTCCCTCCACACAGGCTTGTGTCTGGACTCCAGCGGCTCTGTCCTAGAAGAACAGAGTCACTGTAGGTTAGTGATCCCCTCCTCCCTCTCCCCTCCCCCTACTCCCCTACCCCACCCCCAGGCTATAGGCCCACCTCACCTCAGCTGTTCACATCTGCAGCTACTCTGTTTCTGAAGAAGTGTGTGTCTGGGCTGGGCTGGGCCTCAAAGCATGGATGTTAGGGGTAAACAGTTCCACGCCAGGCTCAGCTCCAGCTATGGTTCCACTGCCCCACAGCTTGGGGCTAAGTCCTCTGCAGGCCGTGGGTGTGCAGGGGTGGAGGCAGGGAGCATTTCCCTTCCTCTTCTCTCAACAGCCCCGATTCACTCCTGCTGAAATCCACACAGAGAGGCCACTCAGAGAAAACCAGAGACCTGTCCCATGCAGACTCTCCCATGAATACCTGCAGCGTGGTGGCATGTCCCAGGGGGTCCCCAACATGGAGACATGGGCTGCAACTCAACACACACACACACACCTCAGACACTTGGATGTGTGCTAACGTGTTCATCAAGGCCCAAGCAGAGCCTGGGGACAGGCACACCGGTGTGTTCTCACGGTCACATGTACACACGTGCTCCCGGCATACAAAGACACAGCACACACAGCGGCAGCAGGTACCACGGGGTTTGCGCCCCGGGGACACAGCCACAGACTGTCTGCACGCACACAGCGTTGAGTACCCTTGTGGTAGGCAGAATGCAACGTTCACGCCCCACACCCGTGACCCACAGCGCTGCTCCGGCTCCGTCATTGGAGAGAATTAAATCTCCATCCTGCCCAGACAATCACAGGCCCTGCAGAGCGGGGAGCCATGGAACTATCACCACCCCCCTTGCCCCCTTCCTCCCCCCATTCCCTCCCCCCCTCGTCCCTTCCCCCCTGCCCTTACACAGGGCACTGTGACAAAGCCTGTCTCCCCTCCCGCCTTTTTGGAGAAAAAGGATTCATAAACACTGAAATGTGTGCAAGCATGCGCACACACACATGCACACACACACTCATGCACTAGCAATGACACACACAGACCGGGTGTAGGGAGCAGGTATTAAAGGCATGGTGTGGAAGGTGGCATGTGTATTTACACAGGTCGCAGTCTCACAGCTGGGTAGTGCACATGTGTGCACACCTTTCCGGGGTGCGGGAACTCACAGCCACATAGTGGCACACACACACACACACACACACACTATAACACCTACCATGCCCCACTGTGCTGAGTGAGCTCTCTGGGGTGCTGTGCACCCAGACACACAGACATGAGGAGGTCCGTGTATGTGTGTGTGTGTGTGTCTCGCAGGCTCTGAGATGCTAGCGTATGCACACACATGCACACCAGGCCCCCACAGAGGCCCGGCCTGTCCCCTCCAGGACCACGGTCCCTGCCCACGCAGCCGGGCCTGCTGGTTTCCCTGGAGGGAGGGGGGGGCGGGAAGGCCCCACCTGCCGCCCGCCGGGCGTCGCTCCATCATGCCGGTGCGCTGACATTCAGAGCCGGCGCAGAGACCATTGCATTTAGCCGTAATGTGCCACAGATTGCACTGACATTTGGAAAATATTCCACCTCGGGACCCATTCGACTTCTAACTTTTTTTCCTGGAAGGGGAGAGAAGCAGCAGAGGGGAAATGCGGCGGGCCTGCAGCACTGGCTGTGTTCCCAGAGCCCAGAGGCTTGCTGTGCCCACCTGGGTGCAAAGATGGGGAGGAGCGAGGGTACAGCCAAGGCTGAGATCAAGCCCCGTCCCCCTCCTCTCCCTCCCCCCCCACGCAGCGGGCCATCACAGAGGCCCTGCCTGGAGCCCCCCTACCCGACCTGAAACCCTGTGATATCTTCTTGGTATTTTTCTTCTCATACTAGGATTTGAACTCAGCACCTTAAGCTTGCGCCGCTGGTGCTCTACCTCTTGAGCCATGCCACCAGCCCCGTTTATTGCTGGTTATTTTGGCGACAGAGTCTCATAAACTTCTCTGCCCAGGCTAGCTTCAAGCTGTGATCCTCCAGATCTCAGCCCCAAGTAGCTAGAATTATAGGCGTGAGTCACTGGTGCCTGACATACTGCCTTGTCTTAAACACGCCACATACACGCCACCTTGGTCAGTGGTAGCGATCTGGTGACGTCGGAACTACTCTCGCCTCATTTGAAAAATGAAAGAGAAAGACTCAAAGCTCAGAGATGGGAAGTGAACCTGCCCAGGGCTGCACAGCCAGGAACGGCTGTGAGTTGAGATTTGAACTCAGAACCTGCTTTCTTTCCACTCCAAGACGAGTGGCTTGAGTCAGGCAGATGCTGACCCCCCCACCCCAGCCTGAACCCCTGCACAGCCTTTCCCCTTCTTCCTCTCTGCCTCCCCAAGCAGGGCGGCTGCTGCCTCTAGCATGATGTGGGCAGGCAGCGTCCCCAGCTTCCTGGGAGGGAGGCAGAGGCTCGGCTGCACCTGGGAGCTGGGAGAGGCGCTGAATAGGGTTGGCGTCTGCATCATTCACGTGCTTCATCTCACTGAAAGAAAACCTCTGCCTCTTAGGAAATGGGTGGTCAGATCCTCATTTCCCACAGCTGCAGAAACCGGGGCTGGGATGGAGAGATTTGCCTGTGGTGCCCCAGCCCCCTCTGGAATCCCATCCAGCTCGGGGGTCCAACAGCCGCCAGGTAACCCCATGGTGGCCAGAGGGGCCTGCTGGCCGGGGGAGATGGGGGGGCACCAAGGGCCATGACACCGGCCCCCTTGGCTAGTCTGAAGGGAGGGAGGAGAGGTAGGAGGGCTGACTGGGTTCCTCAAGAGCTGATTAATCTTCCTTAAAGCACCCCAAGTCCAACTTCCCAAAAGGCAAAAAAGAAAGTTAGGTTAATCTACTTGGAACGATTCCTGGGCCGCACGGGGTGGCGATCGATCCGCGCACGCTCATAAGTAATTCTCAGTAATTACAAGAAAGAGGGGCTTTCGGTGACAGCCTCGCTTCAGAGAGAAGCCCCTGGGGAAGGGGGTCAATTGACATCGGAGGAGGGGCCTGCCCTGCCCACAGTGTGGGGGGGAGTGGGGGGAGCGACTCTGGGGCCCCCACCCCTCATCCTGGGATGGGCCACATGATCACTGCAGGTCCAAGCGCCAGAGTTTCAAGTGGATGGGGCACGGGAGGCCCAGCGTGGAGGGCAAACAAGGATTTCTGGTAGGAGTGAAAGTGGCCCCCAGAGGACTGCCAGCAGCCAGCATCAGGAGTCTTGGGGATACCAGCGGCGCCCGCCCCGGGGGGTGAGGGGGTGCGTCACCGCCACCCCAGGGACCCATGGACGCCATCATTGGTGGAAATCACCAGTGGCAACGTGGTGACGGCCGTCCGTGCCTGGCGCCCAGCTCCCAGCAATCACCCACAAGCGCCCATCACGGCCACGCCCCAAACCCGGCTCGGCCTCCTGACTCACGCTGTCCTTTTGTGTCTGCGTGCTCACCAGAGCGGGCCTGGCGTGGCATGGCGCTCCGGAGACACAGTCGCCATGGAAGAATGAGTGATTGCGCTCAGAGCGGACAGGGAGCATTGCTCTGTCCTGCCGTCGCCGGGATGTCCCTGGTGCTGGGCCCATGCGAATCCATGGCCGCGTGCTGGCCCAACGCCCCACACACTTTGGAACACAGGTCCCGCACCTCTGTGCTGTCCCGACGCAGGGCTCCAGGCCCAAGGACACAGCACATCACAGCCCTGAGAGACAAGGGCCCTGCGTGGGCCTTCAGCGCCTCTCTTCTTTGCAGTAAAGGAGGGATGGAGGGAGCAAAAGCAGGCGGAGGCTGGAAGGTAGCTCAGTGGTGAGTGTTTGCCTAGCAGGTATGAGGCCCTGGGTTCGATTCCTCTGTACCAGCTACACAGAAAAAGCCAGAAGTGGTGCTGTGGCTCAAGTGGTAGAGTGCTAGCCTTGAGCACAGAAAGGCTCAGGGACAATGCCCAGGCCCTGAGTTCAAGCCCCAGGACTGGCAAAAAAAAAAAGCAGCGGAGCCTCTCTCTTCACCCCCCTTTCCAGCGTCCACCCCAATACAATTTCTCTAGAGGGTTCCCCAGGTGCTAGAGGGAAAACGCATTCCACTGTCAACAC